CCCCAAAACCCCAAAACCCCAAAACCCCAAAACCCCTATTGTCTAATTATAATTGAATTTAACCGAATTTATGAAGGGAAAATTTGTACCTCTGGCAACATTTACACAGAGAAGAAGGAAAACTATAGTCATTTCGAAGATGAAGACGAAGTTTTGAGGGGGTAAAGAGCTAAATCGAGCTAAAAAAGCTTCATTGTAGGCTTAATGTGTTATTTATAGATCAAACCCCCTTCATCTTTCCATACTAACTCCTGACCAAGCCTCTGAGGTATCCCAGGAGGAGACCAAGGGCTTTCATTTTACTATGGGTCCTAGTCTCCTAGAGAAAAAGAGGTAATATCACCTATTTTTGCTGATTTTGGATAATTTTTAGAATGAAAATGGAAGCCAAAGGCAAAAGAAGACCCAAATTAAAACTTAAAACTCGGATTAAATAAATTCCCTCTGGTGCAGTAAGCTGTTAGAAACTAAATCGTGTAGGAAGCAGAACCGTGAACTCAGCACAGTATCTGAGAAGAACCTTGATTTAAAATATTCTAACATTAAATAAAAGGAATCGAAATGCAACTCAAAGGATCAAGACCCGGTGTCCAAAAAGCTTAACTTTTAAGTTGAAACTACAAAAAACCAAGACTAAACGCTTCAAACAAACTAAGAAGGCAGCCATTCTAAGAAAGAGGCCCATACAGTTAGATCACTCAAGGCCTGAGAGGTAAGATTGCTTTCTCATAACTTAGCTCAACTGATTCAAGGAAAGAAAAATTCCACTTAGGTCGAGATGGCCAGAATCAATTCAAAGCTAACAAGGCACTCTTTACTATCACAGCAAGATCCAGACACCACGAAAAGGGAAGAAGGCTAGGCAGAAGTCTGAGGAATTCCATTTCAATTTATGACTCTAGTTGAGAGCTCCAGAAGGAGTTTGATACCATAAAAACAGGCTTCCGAACAGAAAGAGGGTCTCTTCGAAAGTCTTGGCAACTACAGCGTAATGAGTAACTTCCTGTCTCCATCATATAGGCTGAAACAGATACTCAGGACAGATATCTCCAGTAAGAAAAGGCTGTGTATAAACTTTGCTAAAACGCTGACTTCTAAGTACTGTGACACAGGTGGGAAGTTCCTTAATGCCTCAAGTGATATGTTCGATAAGATTATGAAGGAGGCTGAGAAAATAGATTGTATTGATATCTAGCCAATTTCAACTTTGATCGGGTCTAAAGGGGTTTTGGGGTTTTGGGGTTTTGGGGTTTTGGGG